AGTATGAGTTAAGACCGCATTAAAATTCAGTTTAGATTTTTTTGTCCAAATAAGCGACAAACTCCGTATAAAACAACGGATTATCGTAGATGCACACCTCATTGACAGCTTTTTCGTCTAAATTTAAGCAGAAGAAGTTGTAGACGTTTGTGTAGACTTTTGTGAAAAGCGAAAGAAAACTTCTGTAAGCAAACCAAAAGATTAAAATCCCATTGTAACGAAATCAAGCTAGAAATTTATTTTTCAGGGCGTTGTTTTGGACATCAGTGTTGTATTTTGACCACGTCTTTCATACATAAAGAAGACAGTTCAAACTTGGAGGCAATTCCCTGGTAACCTCCGTCAGAATGGAACGGTTTGATCAGCTCCTTACGAACTAGGACCGAACCCAAAAGCAATATTTAATCAACGGTTTTCGAGTTAACTTCATAGGGGAACTTACTTCATTTGAGTCCCCTTATATAAAAAGTTCACGCAAAATCTGGAAATTCTGTTTTCGAAACTATCTAAAGAACTTGACGTTGGGAGGATTGCGGGATTGGGACCTTTCCACACTGCAACTTCTCCTAGTTTTCGTACTTCGCCCGTTGGCATAGTTCCCAAAAAGATTCCAAATTGAGTTTAGGCTAATCCACCATTTGTCGTATCCCAAAGGCTTATCTGTTAACGATTCCGGACGACTGCGCTTCAGTACAAAAAATGGGTTTACGCTCATAGTTGCATCATGGGTAATCAGGGAAGGATGGCGGGAATTCAAAGATTTGTATTGGAATTCAAAGCCAGCTAATTCTTCCTGAATTCATATATTTGATGCTTTCTCTTTAAAAAGAGTAACGTGCGAGTTCAAAGATCAAATTGATACACTAAATCTGGAGTGCAAAGAATTCCGTGATCAGTTTTTAGAAAACCCCAATTTATCGTGCCTAGTCATGACAAATGCAAAGCCAGATCTTTGCAAATTTTGAGTATGTGAACGTGAAAACGTTACGGTCCCTACACCACTCTACAGTTTGCCGGAAGTCGAATTCCGTAAGGCAAGAAGCCAGGTTACCTTCAGAAAAGATTCACAAATGTCCATCAATTTGCGCTGAAAAGATGAGTCACATTGCGCGAACCACAGTCGTTAATTGGCCCTTTAAACGTTTGTTGTTCCGTGGTCACTCCAGGCCGCGCCTTTTTGCGCTGCATCGATCTTACCGCAGGCGTTACACGCCCCTACCATCACGTCCGCCATTTAAACACCTAAGATAAACATGATATCCGAATTTGGCTACACAGATAATTGTAACAGAACGTTTAATTTTTTTTCTGTCAGAGCTATGGGACACTTTATGGACTCTCGAATTATATACAGATGCCGTGGCATCAAAGGGGTATGGAGCGAAGGGGCACTGGGTTTAAGGCCCTTTTCCTATAGCATGGCACTGCCTTTTAAAATCAAACTTTACTAGAGGCTTTTTCTTTTTTTTGTTTTTTATTTCTCTCCCGGTACATATTTGGGGGCCCACCATGGCAAATAGTTGCGTCTTGTCTTTTACTGACAATGCGGCCCTTGTAGATATTATAAACAAACGAGCCTCAAAAACATTAACAGGTCATGATTCTTACTACGTGACCTAGTACTCAGCTGCTAGATACGGAGGGGCAAGGGGATATATCATATTATTTCGAGCTAGCCAAGTCCCCGGCTTAAAGAATAGTCGTGCATCTCCCGTTTACAGATAAAGGGATTCAAGTAACTCTCGCCGGAGGCGGACGAATTTCCAACAGTAGTGCCAACGAACCTACAGCCAGAGAGTTGGTCACTCACTTGAGCGACTTGTTATTAGGCTCGGTCTTGGCTACTGGCTCTCGCAGCTCGTACCTTAGGGAGTGGCTCATTTTTGNGCATCGATCTTACCGCAGGCGTTACACGCCCCTACCATCACGTCCGCCATTTAAACACCTAAGATAAACATGATATCCGAATTTGGCTACACAGATAATTGTAACAGAACGTTTAATTTTTTTTCTGTCAGAGCTATGGGACACTTTATGGACTCTCGAATTATATACAGATGCCGTGGCATCAAAGGGGTACGGAGCGAAGGGGCACTGGGTTTAAGGCCCTTTTCCTATAGCATGGCACTGCCTTTGAAAATCAAACTTTACTAGAGGCTTTTTCTTTTTTTTGTTTTTTATTTCTCTCCCGGTACATATTTGGGGGCCCACCATGGCAAATAGTTGCGTCTTGTCTTTTACTGACAATGCGGCCCTTGTAGATATTATAAACAAACGAGCCTCAAAAACATTAACAGGTCATGATTCTTACTACGTGACCTAGTACTCAGCTGCTAGATACGGAGGGGCAAGGGGATATATCATATTATTTCGAGCTAGCCAAGTCCCCGGCTTAAAGAATAGTCGTGCATCTCCCGTTTACAGATAAAGGGATTCAAGTAACTCTCGCCGGAGGCGGACGAATTTCCAACAGCAGTGCCAACGAACCTACAGCCAGAGAGTTGGTCACTCACTTGAGCGACTTGTTATTAGGCTCGGTCTTGGCTACTGGCTCTCGCAGCTCGTACCTTAGGGAGTGGCTCATTTTTGCAGAATTTCGCCGACGTTTTTTGGGAACCAAACCTTCCATTACAGGGGCGGATCCAGGATTTTTTTTAGGAGGGGGTGCACTCGTCTCTTGCTCTACTTCAACACCAATAAACCACATATATTTTTTTTTTGCAGAATACCAGTTGTATTAGAAAACCGCACGTCATCTCAGGGGGGAGTGGGGGGGGGTAATTTCCGGCCCCGCCCTCGTCTTCGCTTCCTTGGGGGCCCGCTTAACAGCGGTTTCACTGTTTTTTATTTCACTTTCAAATATAATTTATTCTTCTTATCATTTTTGTGTTTCTGTTATCCTTTTTGATGTACTTTTTCTTGCATTTTTTCCATGTAATTATTTTAGTGTTTTTTTGTCAGAAAACCCGTGTTTTAAGAAACCCCCCCGCCCCCTCCTGGGGGGGGGGGGGAATGCGCACCCCCTGCCCCCTGCACCCTCCCTAGATCCGCCCCTGTATTACCATTACCTTTTTTATCTCCAATCTCTCGGCCAAAAAACTCGCCCCGTCTAAGATTGTGAGGCTGCGATTCGCTTCTGTCCTCTCATGTCTTAGTGTCCCAAGTAGACTTTCTTAGGGAACTCGTCATAGCGTGACTTCAATTTTGGGGTATCGGCATCAATAAAAATATATCGTAATTATTTAAGTTACCTCAGCGGAGAAGTCAGAGAACTGATTCCCCGTTCTTTTCTACTGGTTTGTTTTTCGTTTCGTTTTGTTTTATTTTGTTTGTTTGTTTTTTTATTTTCACTGTCCTATTTTTTTTACCAGCTACAAAATTTGGTCTTTTAGTCTTACTTCATTTTATGATTCGTTCGCTTCACTAACAGTTTAAGTCAGAGATATCAAAATGTTTCCTAGCCTCTGCGGCTCGACCAGTATGTCTTACTGATAATGATAACGACAAACTCCGCAATGTTTTGCAGCTGTAGACTGATAAGTTTCCTTACAGGAGGGAGATGCCGTGAGGCTCTTGGAATGGAAAACGGAAAGATTGCTGACGACCAAATAACTGCTTCCTCTGAAGGGGAAGCCTATCGAGCCGTTAATGGAAGGTTACATTATATCACTCCACAAGGAAGACCATTCGGTTGGCAACCTAAAAGCACAAGCTGCATCAGTGAATGGCTGCAAGTTGACCTTCTTCTTGACAATTACACAATAACAGGAGTAGCAACACAAGGGTGCAGAGCTCGCACGTCAAAATCTGTTTTAAGTGTAACCAAATACGAACTAGAATACAGCAATGATAGTAAAATGTTTTATACCGACCATAGGGTAAGCTTATTTCGTTTTTCTTATAAGGAAATCCCAATGCTTATATATATTTCTCTAGAGTTCCACAAAGCTGAAATACTTTTCTCTAAACGTCTGAATTAGGTGAAAGTGCCTCTTTAGGGGACAGAAAAGCTTGTTTTTTATATGATCCGCCATTTTTGTTTTCACAACCAAAACAACTCAACCTCATCCCCAGGTCTTCTCGATTAACGGGGCATTAACCTGAAAGGAAGCTGCACTTTTGACGTCATCGGTTGAGTAATCGCAAAATTCTTCCAAATTTGGTCATCAGTGGCTGGTTATGGTGAATTATGCATGTGCTTTTAGCCAATCAGAATCGGGTTAATATTTTAAATGAATAATAAGCGTAATTAGTGCACCGATCCTGAGGTAACAGTTGACTTTCTCTGTTTGAATCTGAATGTTTTTCAATATCAGCATTGTTAATGTTTATTTCCGTACACTATGTTTCTATTTACTTTACCAAAGTACGTTAGAATAATTACTGGATGACACCGTAATACCTCTTCCATAAAACAGAGGAGAATATCTCATAACATGTGACTTATCTATGTTCTCTGGATTCTCTAAAATCCTGTTTTCCCTAAAATTAGTTATATACCGGAAACACCGACGAGGACACAGTCGTGTATCAGACCTTGAATACACCAATGAAGGCTCGCTACGTTCGCTTCCAACCAAAATTTTGGAAAAATGGGATATGCATGAGAGTGGAGCTCTATGGCAAAATCACAACAGGTACTTCAGTTATGTAACTGGCACTTTTTTCTTATAAACTACAAATTACTTTTTGAATAAGTAGGCTTAAAATGATTTTAATTTACTTTTGGCTCACCATAAAATGTAAGCAAATTAACATCTCAAATAGTAATTACAGATACTGTTTGTAATACCATCACATGTAAATACATCACATATAAATTGCGCGTTTGGAAATTAAATGTCTGTTCAAGACATCTCTGAAAAGTGTGAATGAATTTATTATTTGACTATATGAAGAATTTAAAATTACCGAGAAGAGGCTGAGTGTATGAAATGAGACTTCATCAGGCTACCTGATGATCCCCTTCCAGAGACTCTCGTGGAAACACTTGATCAAACCAATGCCGCTTTCTATCCAGTAAGACACTTCATACTTACCCTATTTCGGCGTGCGGCTCAGTTTCAGCTCGATGAAAAGAATAAAGACTTCACTGCGTAATACGATGACAGATGAGCGACTTTCATCCTTGGCGATTTTACATATACATAACTTTGACAAAAATGCTGATGTTGATAACGTCGCTAAATTTGCGCATCAAAAGGGGAGGCGCCAGAACATGGTTTGATGGCGAAATGACCGTAAACCTTGCTTTTTTTATTAGCCTGTGTACACAGGGGTCTTTTTTTTATCGATGTCTTATTGTTTCATGTTCATTCAACTGTGCCATTTTTCCCCAGCTTGTGACTCCAGTCCATGTCTCAATGGAGGAACCTGTTTTGAAAACGAAAGCGAAGAGTACATCTGTAAATGTAGTAGTGGATGGGGAGGAAACAATTGCGAAAAAAGGACAGGTAGCCACTATTATTAATATTATTAATTATATATTTGTGGCTTGAAAGAAATCCAGAGATATCCACAGGCATCACCTTAAGGTGCTCAGTTCGAAATATCATGCATAAGTGGAGAATTCCATATTTTGGAAAGACAAGCAATAACAAATGAATCTGTTGAACTTGTTTGTGCAACGACGAAGATGACGAAGTTTGTTTGTAAAATACTTTATGGTGTTTTAAAAATATATATGAAGAAATAAATGATAAAACTAAGAAAACGATGAGCCTTAGGGTAATAGGGTAAGGGAATTTTATAGTTCTGGAGCTTAAAGGTCAAATGAACCAAAAAATTGAAATGTTTTCTTTTGCCGCTTTACCTTCATCAAACACTAAAAAGAACCGTCCTAAGTGAGATTTAGGTAAAGATTTTTCTTCCCAAGCCTTTATAGAAAGATAAAAGATCAAAATCCGAGCATTTCCGAAGACTTCACGAAAACGTTTCTGAAATGGCCGCGTGATAGACTGGAGACTACGTGACGTCAATGTTGGTCTTTCAGAACGGAAAAACGTTCTGCGCAAGCTTCTGCGCATCCCTTATCGCCTGCGTTTGTTTGTCTCGTTCTGTGAGAGACTGAATGAAATACACGAGGTGCGAACGTTTGCTCCTTGTAAAGGCGTTTTTTTTTGGTTTTTGTTGTTGTTGTTTTTTCGTCACTTGAAAATTGCTTTGGATTCAGAACAACCAATGTTAGAGTAAAAACAGATCATTCCGTCAGTCTGAGGAGGAATAAAACGTTCTGAACATTTCAAAAGAGGTTTGTATTTCTCTGATAATTGTGCATTCGATTTGTAGATTGATTTTGTGTCCAGTGCTCCGCCTTCTTTCGCCGGGCTGAATTAAAACCCGCTTGTGTTATTAGTAGTTACGGTTAGTTTTTTTACGTGCCCAGATTCATTTACCTTTGCAGAACCAGCTTTATCCTTGTCTTATGTCAAAGAACCGTAATGCTAACGCTTGCGAGTGAACAAACTTGAGCGCTGAAAACTCCCTCGGAACTATAGAAGGCTAGCAAGCTTATTCGAGAAGACCAGACTACTTCGATCACTTTTCTGTTGCTCAAGTAATAATAGTCAGAGTATTTTTTTTGTTTTTCATTTTTAATTACGTAGTTTTGTTTTCTTTCTGTACGCAAATTTTCCTTTTCACTCGCTGTGAAGTAGCTGAGAACGACAACTGCCGGCAGTGACTTCAAAACAATTGATTCTTTGCCCTTAAACAATTGCTGGAGCTGGATTTGACTGAAGCGAGCAAAACAAACCCTAATGTGCAGTTTTCTGTACCTTCTAATGATTCAGTTTGCTGCGTTTAATTTGCTTGAATGAAGACTCTCGCATGGACCAGTTTATAAAAACAGCTAAATGGTGAATAATGGCTTGGGTGCGAAGCTTGCAACTGATCTTTTGCTTTTAAGATCTTTAGGTAGTTTATTTCGCACAGAAAATTCACTTCTTCATTGTCAGCAGGTATAAGAGCCTTAAGCCTTAAGTTTTTTGAGTGGAAATTTGTTGTTTTGCAACCTTATTGAAGCTTTTTTTAGTTCACTTAAGCTGAATTTTATGCATGACGGAATTGTTCTTTGCTTGTCACCTCTCCTTGCGAGCTTAAAGTGACCTCAGTCGGTAATTAAATCATATACATAACTGGAGAGAAGTTTTTGCAATAACGTAACTTCAACTTTGTTTGAAGGAAATCTTACTCTGTTTTTGAGAAGTGTTATGCATGTTCAACTTGACAACACAAAGCAAACTTTATCTGCGCGAAACGATCAAGTTTAAAAAACTGTAGTTGCTTTGAAACCGATTTTGCGGAAGATTTTAGTAGATAAAGATTAACTCTTTTTCTGCCCACATATCAACGCCAAAACTTCTACACTGAGGATTTGTTTATATTTTAGTGTTCTGCGAAGCACAAGTGTCGATCGAGCGTGGGTTTTAAAATATCAGCTCCAGTGCGACAAAGTTCAATGACCTCAAACACATTGTGGGCAAGCGTGAATTTCTTTGGGCAAATCACTATGCAAAGATATTTGTTTTTGTGTCCACAGTGGAGCTCCGGACCTTATATATCCAGAAACGTCTTTATATGAACACATTTTGTGAATACATCTTGAAAAAAATTGGACCTACGTACGCACATTTCCAGTACAGCGCAAGGAAATTAATGCCGTCGTTAAAGTCCGTTTTATTCTTCGAGAAAATTAAATAATAAGGTTATAACCACAGCTTGCAACTTTTGAAGACAAATTGCTTGTTCTTTCTAGGTTTATGGCCGCAAAAACCACCACAATTTCTGCTCCAAGTCGACTTCGAAAAACACGGTTTTGAATTTCCCGCTTTTTTTCACCTGACCAACATTGACGTCACAAGCTGTTTTTACCAACAATTTTTCCGACCACTCTACGAAGATAAGGGCCAAAAAATAACAATTTTTAATTGCGAATATCTCGGAGATGCTTGCTTCAATTGAGCTGAAACTTCATAGTGTGTTTATTCGGTTCATATGAAACATATTTCACTAGAACTGAGCTAAAATAAAAAAATGTCGAATTTTTGGTTCATTTGACCTTTAACAGTCCGGAATATCCCTAAATTTAAGGACAGGGCCAACTGGTCACGTGCCACTTTTTAACCAATGAGATGGCGCGCTTGTGTTTATCAACAAACAAATCAAAACATCGCCCCAGTGATAAAAAATTTTCAAAACAACGGACGGAGTCGGACAGAATTAAAGATGAGCTTACAGTACTGGTCTAGGTTGCACATTTAATATTTCAAAGAAAACATGTCATGTTAGAGAATATAGAGCATTAATCATTGCAAGGAATCATTGGGGTGTTCGAACTGGGGCTTCACTGGCATGGCATGCAAGATTTTTGATAGAAGCAAACTCGTCCCGTGTAAATAAAAAATAGCCTTAGAGAGAGTGTGGAAATTTGTTGAGATCGTACAAAACAGCATTGGTACTACCTATTAACTTCTACAGGACAAGAATCAAAGAACCAGTCATCATAACCAGAATAGAAAGTAGTTGAAATTTATTAATTTTTCTTGTTTGTTTTTTTGTGTTGTTTCGTGTTAACTTCACGCATCTGGTGCTTTCTTTGCTTGCTGTAGTACCTGCAATGTTTTAATTTTATCCCAGATAATCAGTGCATGTTCAATGAGCAGCGAAATACAGCATTTACAATTGAGATTTGCCTTGTTTCTTTGATTGTTTTTTAACGGCGGATGAACATTTGGAGAATCCAACAACATTAAATCTTTCCAGATTAGTGAATTTCAGAAACAAAGCGGTTAGTATCTACCTTGCGCTTGTGATCTTGAATTTCATCCCCGCAAATTCGGCAAAGTGTGGCGAGATGTTGGACGTGAATATCCATAAGAATAATAAAGTTTTTTTTGGCCTTGAAAAGAAAAAAGGCAAAGGCTCGTACTTATGCGAAAAAAAGTAATAACACGGCTTTTGTGAGAAACCCGGGAGTGGAAAACCTACGTGTTTTGGACCTCGGAATTCAAAAATTGTCTACCAAAATTCTAGGTTGTCTGCCACCCCCACATTCAACATGATAAAAGTTAATCGATATGACAATCGAGGAAAAATATCTAGAACTTCGTAAAAAAATCTGTGAATCGAAAAAATAATAGATACAAGTTGTTCATCTACCTTGAAAGCCGACCAAAATCTCTCCTATACATCGCGTTGTTTAAAAGATAAAAGAAGAATAAGCCACAAAATGTGCTGAATATTTCACGAGACACTTCCAATATGGCTTCCGATACGCTGTCCACTTAAAAAAATTGTGTATGCCTCATGAAAAGTCTTAAAAATATACCTGAGAACCTCGAAACGATGACTGATTCTGTCCGACTCCGTCCGTTGTTTTGAAAATTTTTGATCACTGGGGCGATGTTTTGATTTGTTTGTTGATAAACACAAGCGCGCCTTCTCATTGGTTGAAAAGTGTCGCGTGACCAGTTGGCCCTGTCCTTAAATTTAGGGATATTCCGGACTGTTTAAGCTTGTTTTATCATGTTTACTGTTGTTTCACTTGTTTTTAAGAAAAGATAACAATCCAACTAATCTAAAACATTTGTTCATAAATATCTGTGTTTCAGAATGCCTCCACTACCAAAATTTGACCAACGGTAACCGGAAAGTGTCCTACGGTCCATCTCCAGTGCTTTGTGATAATTTACTCCCACATGGATGGTATCGTTTCCAAGGTAACGCAGGGACAAAAATGCCTACGTCATGCGTTGCTCCTCAGAAATGTGGTACCCATGCCACTGGCTGGCTTAACGGTGCTCATCCGTCAGTAGAAGAAGGCAAAGTCACCAAAAAGGTCTGCTTCAGCTGGCGCCGAAACTGCTGCCAGTGGTCGATCAATATTGAAGTACTTAACTGCGGAGATTTCTTCCTGTATCACTTCAAAGGAACGCCCCTGGGACATCCATGTAATCTTCGTTATTGTGGTACTGACTGAGGGAATCAAGGTTTTCGAATTCCCATTCTTCGGGACAAAAAAATGTGTTCAAACGCCAATCTTAAGTTCAGAATAGACAACCAAGTGGCTTTTCATACTAGAGGGAACTACTTACTATAGAATTTAGTGAATCTGAGAAGTAAAACTGTATATTTGCCTAACGTTTTACTCACAGAGTTTCAATCCTAATTCCTAATAGCTGGCTTGTTGGCTTGTTGAGTTATTTAGTTTTTTTGTGAGTTTCTAATAAACTGCAGTGTTGCGTCAAAGATGAGAGAAATGTATCTACCACAATGTTCTCCCTGCTGCTAGAACACTCCGTCCTATAGTGTCTTGCACTTTCTCCCAGTAAGTTTGAGTCCTGCTCTGGCTGCTTAATTCCTCCCCAATATCTTAGTCTTTACGTACAAGTCATTGAACTTAGATGACATTAGTGCAATGTCATCTGCGAAATCAAGGTCCTCCAGCACTTTTGTGAAATTCCACTTTATCACTCTTCTCTTGTTTGCTGTTGCGCGCCTTCCTCAGACATGACCCAATCCAAGCACAGTGAGAATAGGAAACCTGACATCCCGCACCCCTGTTTTAGCCCAGATTTGATCATAAACCAGTCTGATGTCAAACTCCCGTCAAATCCCTTCGACAACAGCCGTTAACACTACATGTTAAATATTAAGGAGGTAACTGTTTTGAAAGCTCACTACTGTACTATGCCTTGAGCTTGTGACTCAATCAGTGGCGAATCCAGACCTTCAGATAAGGGGAAGGGGGGAAGCGGTCATCCAGACTCTGAGATAAGGGGGGCGGTCAAGAAAAACTTTTTTGGCCCTTCGGGCACCATTTTGGTCTAAAAACAAGGGGGCGGGATCAGCCACTGCAATCAAAGAAGCTGTGACATCCACGTGTTTAATTTGGAAAGTGATTTAAATGTTTAAGCATGAAGTTCAGTTCCATCCAATATATAGAATTAAAAAATAATTGTGATATTCTGTAATATAATCTCTTAGGATATGACGTTACTAGCTTAGTATGGGGGTATAACGAGCTTTAGCATTAAATACAAGTGCTATGTAAATGAAATACAGTCCAAGGGCTTAACCCGTGGCTGACGCGGTGGTTACGTTCTGAATAGTAAAGACTACGTTGGAACCACGATATTGGTGCCCTGCTGCCTCTTCGCCCTTAGGAGATATACAATTTATAGTAGAAAACAGCAAACGTCAGACTCAAAATAGAAAATTTGCAGCTAATGAAAAACAGTACAAAACAATCGTTACTAATCTGGGGTGGAAGTAATTAACAATAAAGTGCAAGTTCAGGAAAAACTTGGTCACGTGGTACAAATTCATTTGCCGTTTGCCGCAAAAAACGTCACTCTATGTCTCAGTCTCCATTGTTATCTGTAATAGACCCCAAACCACCCCACAGCCAGAGACCGGACCCGGGAGACGGCGGAAATCGAGCCTAGCGACTCCCCCGAGTTCTAGGGTTTTCCAGAGCTCAGTTTACAGTGATTTCTCAGGCCAAATTTTTAAGGCTCAGAAATTCGGCATAGGATATTTTGGGTGTTAATTTTTGTTGGAAGCCTTAGGAATTTCTTTGGGTTTTGATTTTTAACCCCATTCGACCATCCCCGTCACTTGAAATCCGGAGTATTCGCCCGCTGGGATCACAACGCTAGCCAAATCGCTTCAAAACGACGTTGAGGAACACAAAAAAACGTTATAAGTTTGTTTCATTTATACCCCACGATAAGCTAACGGATGAGGCGATATTTTTTTCCTTTTTAAATATTTCCCATATGATCCCGGCCCTTTCATAGCTACCAAAATTATCCCACATACAGTGAGAAAATAAAACCGCATAAAATATTGACGAATATATTCAAAAATAGCTGATTACTAGTCCTGTTGATTAATTTTTCTTGCTTTCAAATGTCAAAAAGACATAAATTTAAATGAAAAATATAACAAAATAAAAATGAAGGGTGGTCTGACACGTGTGACATTCTAAAGACTTTCTTTTTTGAAAAAAATAATGACAAGAAAAGAATAATGAATAATGTATATATGCAACATTCTCTCTTGATGAAACTTAGTCTTTAATGCAGAATTTTTAAGTATGGCACTGAGGGAAAGCGACGACGAGATACAATAGTTTCCATTTAAAAGCTGAAAAAAACCTAGCATATAGATTGTTCTTTGGCAGCAAAACAACCAAACATCCATGGACAAATGCAGCTGAAAATGGAAGTGTTCTCTTCTGAGTATTAATAAGAAAACGAGCTACGCAGACGACAAAAACAGGCAAGTAAAAAAATTTAAACTAAATCGCCCAGAATAATCCCGTATATGAACTTTATTATTTACATTATTTTTTAGTTTTGTATATTTTACTTTGACATTTTTTCTCTCTTTCTCTGTTTACAATCTTTTTTTTTTCGTAAGGTGATGTTACATGGGACGATTCGCGACGACGATTTTTAGCGCAACACAGTTTTGCAATGCTGTAACAATGTTGTAACCATTCGAAAAATGTAGCAACGATATTGCAACGCTGTGTTGGGCTAAAAACTACTGAAGTAGTTTTTGACTAGCATCAATGTTGACAGCCCGGACATGACTGTGAGTCATAACAGTAGTATATCCATAAATAATTAAACGGCAATTTGATTAGTATCAAAAGTGGGCTTTGCACGTGTGAGGAGGCTACCGGCAAAACAAGTTGTCACATCAAATTTTCGGATATACCCTAGCTAAAAAAAACGCAAACGGTACAATTTGATTCTTTAAAAGTTAAATTGTTTTTCACTTTTATCATTTTGAAAGCGTTAGACATGACTGTGAAAAAAAGGTTTTGAAAACTAGGGATCGATCATAGGAACCTTAATTAACAATCTGAAAGTGAAGTACTCGCCTTTGTATTGAACTAGAATGAGCATCGAATCGACTCTCTATACCTAAAGAGATCCCGCAGCAAGAAGTATCATCAGCTGAGTCTTCTAATCTGCATTACTTGGTTCAACGTATGTATCTACCCTTTAATGTTATTTTCCCCTAAATAACTTCGAAAAATTTAACATCTTTCAAGGCGTTATCGAATAGAAAAGTCCAACTTATTAATGCTTTTCTTTTGAAGGCTGCTAAGTCATGAAGGCGCTGAAACAAATCTTCTGCATGTCCGTTATATCTGTTTTGGGCCAAGTGCACTGCGCAGTGGTAACTCCACAATGCCCGAGCAGTGGATACGAGATATCCATACTGGGTTGGATGTTACAAGGACACATTTACAAAACGATGGAGGCAAACTCCCCGCTAGACTGCTTATTCGCTTGTAGAGAAGACGATCGATGCCAAAGTTTCAATTGGGTGATCTCTCGTCTCTTGTGCGAGTTTAATAACAGAACAAAGGAAGCCAGATCTGAGGATTTCGTGTCAGATCCAAACAGATTTTACTTTAGACGATACAAAAACAGAGGTAAAAAGGTGTTTTCGACAATACTACCTAAGAAACAGTGAAGACCTTATTGAAACATTTGAAAACAATCAAAGACCTGTTTAGGTGTTGTGGCTGTTGTAAATTCACTTCAAGTAATACGTTTCAGTATTTAGGCCACGAGGACTTGAAGATTGATAAAGATTTCAGCGTCATTGCAACAAATCAAATTCCCCACTTTAGAAATGAGATGGAAACTGGGCCTTAAACTTTTGCAAGGAAGTATGGGACTGCTCTGGGGACAGGGATCCCAGAAGTCTTTGCGAAAGGTAACTCGGCCCAGTTTCCTACCGTTTCTAAAGGGGTGAATGCAAAACAGAGTTCAATAGAGAGGAGAGGTCATTACGTTACGTTGCCATGGTAGAAACATTCCTGGATGACAACAAACCAAAATGTCACTTAAAAATTAGATTAGCACTGTTTCAAACTTCATAGATCTTATTTAATTTCATTTAATTTGTCAAATGTTGACGACATTTTTGGGTTGAATCCGAAAGGACCTTATCTAAGTTTAGAAAAAGGAAAATAAAATTGTGTTGTGCTCACCTACTCCATAAAGCAGGGGAGTGAAATTAGGAAGTTTCATGTCGCAGTCGTGGAACAACGGTCAAGAAATGTACAAAAAAGCGTGATGGACGTGCAAAGTCGTTTTTTATTGCGACTCTTCCCAAACCGAATTTACGAAAACGATCGAGAGCTCCACATGGTGGCGCACTGGTTTGCTGAAGAGATGACCCAAGCAAGAATCTCAAAATAACTAGTTAATATTTTCTCTTTCTTAGCAAACACTTACGACAAAGTAAAGAAGACAAAACCATAAGAATATGTAGACAGTGGCTGGTCGGAGTCTGGGGAGGTGGTGGGAAAAATTTTCAACTAATGGCAATAGCTGGAAGGGCCGCGTTAAACATATAACAAGTCTTTCATACAGAACTAAATACGTTCGATCTCCTGATTGGCCAGGGAACCACCGCCTGCACACTGCTGATAAGAAACGCGAAATGCCTCGAACTAAAATCAAAGCAAGATTCCATCTTCTCATCATAATGATTGTTTTTGCTAATATAAACCTATTGCTTTTTTGCTGTTCGCCGCCGACGTTCCTGTTGTTGTGATTTAGGAATTTTGCCACCACGGTAACATGACGTCACACTTCTCCTCTCTCAATCTGTTCTGTCTCTCCAGTCCCTCTCGGCTCAATTCCTGAACTGCCAGCTGAATCTTGCAAGGAAGTAATGGAAAGCGAGGAACAAGCGGTCAGCGGCAAGTACTGGTTATACACCATAAAAGAGAACATTCCTGTTCTAGCTCACTGCAATATGGAAACTTTCGGTAAGTTCTAAACTACACTGCAAATACCTCTAGAAACACACTGCAGGCTTCTTATTCCTAACCGTGGACATTTAATAGGCTGACTAACCTTTGCCTCTTGTCGATTGGAAAAGCTTAGGCACCATAAATATGGCGCACTATTGTGGCTGCGTTTTGAACGTTTTCGGCCTTCCATATTAGGGAGTTTAAGCAGCCACGCAACCGGAAGTGGACTTTTTGCGCTCTTGAGCCATGACTTTTTGAACAAATTTTTGGGCAGATCGTCCCTATAAGAGTAAAGAAAAACATAGCAATACAAATTTGCTTGCGTGAAGGCATATTGCGTTGCAATGTTGGAACAGTGTTGTAACTATTCGAAACAATGTCCCAACAATGTTGCAACGCTGTGTTGCGCTAAAAATCGGCGTTGCGAATCGTCCCGTGTAACATCACCTCTAGATTTATACACCATTCGAGACATTTTGAAAGAGCACGTGAGTATGGGTCACTTGGGGTGTGTTGAATTGCATTATGTGACTGCTTTGAGAACGATTTTGGACCCAGTTTCATGCACTACCCCATTAAAGCCAATAAAAGAAGAGCTGGAGTCCCAAAACTAACCCAGTCTTCCACGAAATAAGTGTAGCCTGCGTGGCAGGGGTTAAAAGAGAAAGGGAAACAGGGAATGTGGGCTTCCCCTCCTCGCGCGCCCAAAAGTCTCCTTTCCCTTCCTCTTTTAACAACTGCCACGCACGCTATACACCCAACGTCGAAATGGCCACTACCATAAAGGACTACAGCTTATTACTTAATCAGAGAGACCATTTTGCACTTTGAGACGGTATAATGCTTTCCGTTTAAGACAAAAACTCCCTTTGTTTAAAAGTGGTAAACCGGATGACGTTCCTTTTCTTATTCAACTAAACTTACTATTTAATACGCACACCAAAAGGGAGCTTATATTCTAGAGCGTTTTTTTAACTACGCCCGCAAACTGGAAGTTAGGTCTTGCCGCTACCCTGCAGATTCTTTGGGTGAGTGTCTTTACCCTTATAAAATGAGACGATTAAACCCCTGCCCAAGAATGCAAAAAGTCCCAGTTCCAATTGACATGCATCGCTTTAGAACGACTTTGCTTTAGCTCCCTAATGACACACTAACATGACTGACATGCAAGTCGACAGTTCTAAAGTACCAAATACCCGGACAGAATGGTACCTGAAATTGGACTAAATCGATAGAGTTATAAGTTGGTCTTTTTGCCACCGGAACTTGAGAATATATTCACTTCAGCGAGGCTAAAGCTGTAGAAATTCGTCATCAAGGCTTATAAGTTCAGCGATTATGTCAAAGTCGAAACTGGACTATGAATTATTTCCGACGATCCTGTAATCAGTTCATGAGAAGCGGAAAGCGAGCTCGGCCCATTTACGTCCCATTCTTTCTCGGGTCGCTTGCGGGTGACCTTCGACTGGCGCGCCAAAGAGGGACTGCTCGGAAGAGTACGTAGTCCAGGATACGTTCATTCAAGAGACTTTTTAACAACAAGCGTCAACTTTTATTATGTTAAACACTGTTGTTTGTCTTATTTTTGATAGAACAGATGACAAACAAAGTAAGCTAAAATATTTGCTCATAAAAAGTTTCAGATTGCCCCAACTACCAAAATTTGACCAACGGTAACAGGAAAGTGTCCTACGGATCATCTCCACCTCTTTGTGATAATTCACTGAATGGATGGTATCGTTTCCAAGGTAACGCGGGGACAAAAATGCCTTCGTCATGCGTTGCTCCTTCCAAATGTAGTACCCATGCCACTGGCTGGCTTAATGGTGCTCATCCGTCAGTAGAAGAAGGCAAAGTCACCAAAAAGGTCTGCTTTAGCTGGGGCTCAAACTGCTGCAGGTGGTCCATCAATATTGAAGTACTCAACTGCGGAGATTTCTTCCTGTATCACTTCAAAGGAACGCCCCCGGAACATCCATGTAATCTTCGTTATTGTGGTACTGACTGAGGGAATCAAGGTTTTCGAATTCTCATTATTAAAGGACAAAATGTGTTCAAACGCCCACCTTAAGTTAAGAATAGACAACCAAGTAGCATTTCATACCAGGGGGAACTACTTACTATAGAATTTAGTGAATCTGCGAAGTAAAACTGTATATTTGGCTTACGTTTTACTCAAAGAGTTTCAATCCTAATTCCCAATAGTTGGCTTGTTGGCTTGTTGAGTTATTTAGTTTTTTTTGTGAGTTTCTAAAGAAACTGTAGTGTTGCGTCAAAGCTGAGAGAAATGTATCCACCACAATGTTCTCCCTGCTGCTAGAACACTCAGTCCTATAGTGTCTTGCACTTTCTCCCATTAAGTTTGAGTCCTGCTCTGGCTGCTTAATTCCTCCCCAATCTCTTAGTCTTTACGTACAAGTCATTGAACTTAGATGACATTAGTGCGATGTCATCTGCGAAATCAAGGTCCTCCAGTACTGTTGTGAAATTCCACTTTATCCCTCTTCTCTTGTTTGCTGTTGCCTTCCTCAATCATGACCCAATCCAAGCGAAGTAAGAATAGGAAACCTGACATCACGCACCCCTGTTTTACCCCAGACTTGATCATAAACCAGTCTGATGTCAAACTCCCGTCAAATCCCGTCTACTACAGCCGTTAACACTACATGTTGTTAAATATTAAGGCGGTAACTATTCTGAAAGCTCACTACTTTACACTGCGCTGAGGTGTGCGCAATCTTTTAGAGGCTGTGACATCCAGGTGTTTACTTTTGAAAGCTATTAATGTTTAAGCATGAAGTTCAGTTTCATCCAATATATAGAATTAAAAAAATAATTGCGATATTATGTAAACTAATTTCTTAGGATATGATGTTACTAGTCTTAGTATGGGGGCATTATTAGCTTTAGCATTAAATACAAGTGCTTTTTAATATGTAAATGATATACAGTCCAAGGGCTTAAATCCTGGCTGACACGTCGGTTACCTTCTGAATAGTAAAGATTACGTTGGAACAAAGTTAATTACTGGTGCTCTGCTGCCTCTTAGATATGTATAGGTAATAGCATGATTTGTAGTGATATTTGGCATAAATACCACGAGTGATATTTCGAAATTGTTATACGTAATTTCACGAGCCGTTAGGCGAGTGAAATTTGAGACAACTTTGAAATATCACTAGTGGTATTTATGCGAAATGTCACGTACAAATCATGCTATTATTTGTTTATACTACTACCCACACAAGGTTTGTAATTTTCACATGTAGGTATTTCAAATTAAGCTGAAATACCACTGCTCTAAGCCAATCAAATTGCAGAAATTTCTCATGTAGTAGTATAATAGGAGATATATAACTGATTTATAGTAAATTGGACTTCTCGTTCTTGATAATTTATAGTGAGGTTTCCAGTAACGGATCCAGGGGAGGGGTCCGAGGGCCCCCCCCCCCCCTTCCCCCTTATTTTTGGACCAAAATGAGGCCCGAAGGGCCGAAAAAAATGTTTTGGGAGACCGGGCTTAAAACTACTAGCCCGCAGCGCAGGCGTTTTCTTATGGCGCGCGAATGGTTTGCTCACGAAAGCGGATGCTGAAAAGAGGGGAGAAAATGGGGCGAGTCAAAAGGAGTGGGGTAGGGGGCGGGGAGAGAGAAGAGAAAACGCCAGCCCGAAAACACTGTGAAAATGAGAAACACCCCCTAATTAGTCGCACTTGATCGCTGTTCCGGAAATGAGTAGCCGACCAATCAACACCGAAGAACTATTGCACCGGAAGCTCCCTTCACTTCTGATGAAATAAAAATAAACACATCTGTAGTGTACATTATGCAAGCTGCTAGTTGTTTACGGGAAGGAGAATATTGTCGTCTGATTCGTGTGTCAGTGATTATTGTAGATTATTGTAGGTTATGTACGATTTCGTTTAACTTTAAAGTTGGAGGTAATCTTGGAAAGCAAGGCCATTCTTCTTCAGAAAATCTGTTCAAGCCATCAAAACGAAAGGATTGCTTTGGGGCAGGAGGGAGGGGCCGTCTGTAGGGTAAGCATTGGTTCACTGATCACTGCCAGTGTGACGTCATGTCATACATCGGTGATTTTCAAAATGGCGGGCAAATTTCTTGTTCGTTATGTTGCAAAGGATGTCAATTTTCCGAATGTTTGGATTCATCTTTTGCCTCTTTCAATACAGGCGGAGCTTTTGAAAATAACATGGAAATATTCGCGATAAGGTTTAGTCGGAAAAAGTTTCAAAAGCATCACATGAGGGAAAGAAAGGTACCGCGAAGCGTCTATAAATTGGCACAGTTTGTATGATCGTTTATCGCTTTCGGGCAACGTGCGAGGTGGTGTGGCAATATCCTGATCTCAGAATAAGAGGATTGGTATATGATACATTGAGCTTAATGTACGCCGAGTTTCAGCGAGCCAAAGTGCGTAGTTCTTCTCATCAATCCCTTTAAAGTCGATGGAATGAAAAAATGTGGACACGGCATAAATCCTCGGAGACCCAGGGGCAGTCAGTCGGGCCGGGAGAAAAGGCGCGACGAAAGTTTTCAAGCACAGGCGGAAGAGCCCCTGGGTACCGACTCTCACCGGACCATTTCCAAACGGTCAAGTGAATGCTGGCTCCTGATTGGGCACAAAAAATGCTTTGTATTATTGTGCCCAATCGGCGAACATTTTTCTCGTGAGTTCTTTTCGTGAGTTCGTACACGATGGGTATTATGTCGCCACAGTTGCCCGGTTCGTTCACCAAGCTTGTGCGTACAAGGGAAACTTCCATTTTCTACTTTCCTAACCAGAAACGAAGGACCTACCGATGAGTCGAAAAACGTTTCGGATGCTATCAGCAGGAACAATTCATTTTGCACTGAGAAAATTCTGTTTCTGACGGATCACAATGTATCGTAAATAATCAGATAATAGGAAGTTTAAGATGCGGCGGCGACGAGATAATAAAAAAGTAATAGCTTGACAAGGCAAAACAACAACTTTGCACGTGCATCACGCATTTTGCAGATTTCTTTGCCGTCACTGCACGACTACCACGTGAAGATGCCTAATTTCAGGTTTTGTGAAGGAGGTAAACAAACAATGACAAAATTTTCTTTCTCTTTATGAACTTGGATATGGTTGATAGAAAATCAGCTCCAGAAGAGTTCGCTTGCATTTGACAAAGTAAGCGAGTTGGGAGAATCACGATAGAGACTTGAAAAATGTGAATTCACTTTTCATGCGACGTTTTCGTGGCTGTCAGCTGTCGTGGAATCTTAAACTCCTTAAGATTTACGAAGGCATGATCGATGCAAGTATGAATACCTGTTGTAAGCTCAAGCTTGTATTTTTGGAAAAGCGTCTTTAGTTTTCGGGTAGACAGTGGTAGTCTTTACACTAGAGCCTAAATAAGCTAAGAAATATTTCAAGACAAGTAAGTTTTAATTACTTCAAGTAAAATAAAGCTTCACACACAACCGATTCTTTTTTACTTCAGGTTATTTTCCCACGCAACAAAATTAAGATTGATTGACATGTCTCGCCTTTCTCAAAGCTCAAGAAACCGCAAAACCGCAAGTCAGCTAAGTAGGTCATAAGGATGGTTTTCAAGTCGCTTGAAACTTTCTTGAACCGTTTCAACTTTCCGACTTTAATAAGATGCAAAGCAAAGTTACTTGAGATTTTACTTAGGCCTTCACACACGAATTTTTGGTTAAGTAAAACTTAGCGGCTCTTAAGTCTTACTTAACAGCCTAGTGTAAAGACAGCCAACCAGTATTTTGAAATAAAGTGTTTGTATCAAACTGAAAGTTTCCTGACTGCGTGCATTTGTTTGGTGCATGAGCCAGACAAGCCGTGATCGAGTCAATAGCTATCGCGTCGTGTACGAACTCACGAAAAGAACTCAGGAGATGCTGTTCCCCGATTGGGCACAATAATACAAAGCATTTTTTGTGCCCAATCAGGAGCCAGCATTCACTTGACCGTTTGGAAATGGTCCGGTGAGAGTCGGTACCCAGGGGCTCTTCCGCCTGTGCTTGAAAACTGACTGACTGCCCCTGGGTCTCCGAGGATGAAATGTAATCTGCTTACATCAAGTCACTACCTGTTGCAACAGGTTGGCACTAGAGATCATTGGTAAGTTTTGAAATTTCCTTGTTTACTTCTAACAACAGGAGGCTTATATGCATGTTTTGTGCATGAATCAACGACAGGAAAATGTAATTTTTTGAGTGGCAAATAGATAGCTCCTGAAATACATGCAGGTTATAAAATTAATGTTCAGGCTCTACAAACGGCTACAAACGGTTAGACTTCAACAGTCTCTCCATATATTAATGCTAGAGGGATAACACTGCTAGTCTAGAATCTATGTGCAATTGTATTGTACAATATTAACCGCAATATTCCATTAAATTATTTTTGACCAGGGATGCAAGGAATCTCTGTTGTCAAAGTACAAAATATTAAAATCAACAAATTAATACTAATTATTTTTAATTTAAGAACACTATAATGATAGTGTTCAAGTTTATGCATACAAACAGAAATAGATTTGATGCATCTTTTGTGAAGGAATTCACTTATTGAAACCAATCTGTGCAACAGTCAATCCCAATTGTTCAGGAAGTATTGTTTCCCCAAATTTTAAAGTAGAAAAATAAATTTCAAGCTTTTTGTAACAGCCATTAGGGGGCAGCCAGTGAGGAATAACACGACATGGTATGAATGGTATACCTTCCTGAATGGCCACGCAAAGACGATGGTTTCCTTCAGTGATATAGGCTTTTCCAGTTGTAAGATCACATGATATAATTATTGGTTCTTGAAAACCATTTTTCAAAATGAAACATCTTACTTGTTCAAGATGACTGTGATTATTGCCAGTTTTTGGCATGAGAGATCTGTCAAATTCCCTATATTCCGAAAGACCTTGTGTTTTGACCATTTGAAATTCATGCGAATAATCAAATGCATCAGAAATGTAAGATTTGGTCTGCATTGCATGTTTTTCACTTTCTGTGGGTTCATCAAGTGTCACAAAGAACATATTTGTATCAATTAATGGTTGAAATGCTTTTGCAAAATCATCGTCACTACTAGCTGTCACTGTCAATTTCTGTAGTCATGCTTTTAATCAACTCTTTAAAGGATTTACACTTTGACTCTTTTTTCCCACCTTTAATGTCTGAAGTTGTTTCAGTGTCAGCTGAAATTTGTAAAGAAGTTGGATTGCCGTTTTTTCATTTCATGCAGCTTTCTGATCGGGTCTGTAACCCATGTGGCCGGAAAATTCGTAACTTGGGCCAGTCTTACCAGTTCATTAAACCTGCAATTACATCCACGGCAAGTACCCCGGTTAAGACCAGCAAACATACTGTTGACACGTCGGACAAAGCCAGCCCAGCAGGGAGAAAATCAAAATCCGTCCGTGTCAATTCGCGAGCAGCAAAGTCACCCTCGATCGAAGGTTCCACATCTGCTACTGACTAAAGGCAAATCAAGGAAGTCTCTCTCCTTTTTTTCTTTTGGAGAAAATTAAAAACCTAAAAACTTTATTAAGCCTTATTTTGACCTCAGAAGAGGTCAGAGAAAATGACTTCGCAAACAAAACGAACGATCTGAGTCCAGCGTGATATAGCCTGCGTTGCAGGCGTTAAACGGGGAAGGGGGAATTTGGGCCGAGGCGAATAACACCCCCTGAGATCTCCATAATTCTTCATAAGATACTCAGCCTCATTCATTAATTGTAAAATATAAGACGCTCAAGTTTCGTCTTACGTTTTTAATATTGTTAACTATTAACTTTCCTCTAACGAGAAGAGAAAAGAGACTAAATGAGGGCACTTTTTTTTTGAGGCGTGATTACCTTGTTAATGAACACAATCGGCTAGTATCCGCCACCTAGATTGATTAAAGGTTCAATCAGACGGGGTTGTTGGTTTCGTTTGTTTTGACGCCCGTTCTTCTGCTCAGATAGAGGCTACTTTTCGTCCGATCTATGACTACACTTGACCTGACCGGAAGTAAGTTTGCCAGATCAGACCTAGACTTGCTACAAGTCGACCTCTTGGCCCGCGCCATATGAAATCCGACGAAGGACTTTTTTGAAAGTCTAAGATCAGACATGTGTATTGTCAAGATGGTTCTATTGTTCTCGCGACGGTTTTTGTTATTATTTGACTGCTTGATGTGTCGGAAAAAGAAAACAGATCATACCACGCTGAATCGCGCGAGTTAAATTTACCGCTCGTGTATGTTTGTCGTGTAGAAATATAGGGTATTTGCGAAAGGCAAGTAAGGAAAAAATATTTACTGATTTTATTTCCAATAATAGCGACAAGAATCGTAAACTGAGCAATCTCTTTGTAAAAATTTGCTTTGATTTTAATAATAACTTCTATTGTTTTGTATCTCGTAAGCAACTTAGGAAAAAACATAATTCGACTCACCAGAGTCATTCACGTCGCGTGTCGTAGAAATTGCAGACAAAGGCTGCCGGCCGTCGGATCGAGTTTCCTCGCGCATTTCCACGCGTGTTAAATTGAAACCCGAGATCATCTCCCAAGGAGATCGAGTTAATAGTTAACATGACAATATTAGAAACGTGAGACGAAACTTGAACGCCTTATTTACGACGCGCCAGACAAGCAAACGCATTTGATAACCAGCAATGTTATTTAATAACTGTCTCTGATCGGATTCAAATCCCTTCCAAAACGACTTATAAAGACGGTGACAGGAACAAAGGAAAATGCATCTTATTATTTTATTAGAAGTTTAGTTAAAACAAGAGAGGATAAAGTGGACAGAGAAGGCATCCCCCATACACACCCTATTCCATAGGTAATTCGTCTCGAGTTATTTTTAGAATCGGGATAAAGTTACCTCGCGCTTGCTAGAACACTCAGTCCTATAGTGTCTTGCACTTTCTCCCATTAAGTTTGAGTCCTGCTCTGGCTGCTTAATTCCTCCCCAATCTCTTAGTCTTTACGTACAAGTCATTGAACTTAGATGACATTAGTGCGATGTCATCTGCGAAATCAAGGTCCTCCAGTACTGTTGTGAAATTCCACTTTATCCCTCTTCTCTTGTTTGCTGTTGCCTTCCTCAATCATGACCCAATCCAAGCGAAGTAAGAATAGGAAACCTGACATCACGCACCCCTGTTTTACCCCAGACTTGATCATAAACCAGTCTGATGTCAAACTCCCGTCAAATCCCGTCTACTACAGCCGTTAACACTACATGTTGTTAAATATTAAGGCGGTAACTATTCTGAAAGCTCACTACTTTACACTGCGCTGAGGTGTGCGCAATCTTTTAGAGGCTGTGACATCCAGGTGTTTACTTTTGAAAGCTATTAATGTTTAAGCATGAAGTTCAGTTTCATCCAATATATAGAATTAAAAAAATAATTGCGATATTATGTAAACTAATTTCTTAGGATATGATGTTACTAGTCTTAGTATGGGGGCATTATTAGCTTTAGCATTAAATACAAGTGCTTTTTAATATGTAAATGATATACAGTCCAAGGGCTTAAATCCTGGCTGACACGTCGGTTACCTTCTGAATAGTAAAGATTACGTTGGAACAAAGTTAATTACTGGTGCTCTGCTGCCTCTTAGATATGTATAGGTAATAGCATGATTTGTAGTGATATTTGGCATAAATACCACGAGTGATATTTCGAAATTGTTATACGTAATTTCACGAGCCGTTAGGCGAGTGAAATTTGAGACAACTTTGAAATATCACTAGTGGTATTTATGCGAAATGTCACGTACAAATCATGCTATTATTTGTTTATACTACTACCCACACAAGGTTTGTAATTTTCACATGTAGGTATTTCAAATTAAGCTGAAATACCACTGCTCTAAGCCAATCAAATTGCAGAAATTTCTCATGTAGTAGTATAATAGGAGATATATAACTGATTTATAGTAAATTGGACTTCTCGTTCTTGATAATTTATAGTGAGGTTTCCAGTAACGGATCCAGGGGAGGGGTCCGAGGGCCCCCCCCCCCCTTCCCCCTTATTTTTGGACCAAAATGAGGCCCGAAGGGCCGAAAAAAATGTTTTGGGAGACCGGGCTTAAAACTACTAGCCCGCAGCGCAGGCGTTTTCTTATGGCGCGCGAATGGTTTGCTCACGAAAGCGGATGCTGAAAAGAGGGGAGAAAATGGGGCGAGTCAAAAGGAGTGGGGTAGGGGGCGGGGAGAGAGAAGAGAAAACGCCAGCCCGAAAACACTGTGAAAATGAGAAACACCCCCTAATTAGTCGCACTTGATCGCTGTTCCGGAAATGAGTAGCCGACCAATCAACACCGAAGAACTATTGCACCGGAAGCTCCCTTCACTTCTGATGAAATAAAAATAAACACATCTGTAGTGTACATTATGCAAGCTGCTAGTTGTTTACGGGAAGGAGAATATTGTCGTCTGATTCGTGTGTCAGTGATTATTGTAGATTATTGTAGGTTATGTACGATTTCGTTTAACTTTAAAGTTGGAGGTAATCTTGGAAAGCAAGGCCATTCTTCTTCAGAAAATCTGTTCAAGCCATCAAAACGAAAGGATTGCTTTGGGGCAGGAGGGAGGGGCCGTCTGTAGGGTAAGCATTGGTTCACTGATCACTGCCAGTGTGACGTCATGTCATACATCGGTGATTTTCAAAATGGCGGGCAAATTTCTTGTTCGTTATGTTGCAAAGGATGTCAATTTTCCGAATGTTTGGATTCATCTTTTGCCTCTTTCAATACAGGCGGAGCTTTTGAAAATAACATGGAAATATTCGCGATAAGGTTTAGTCGGAAAAAGTTTCAAAAGCATCACATGAGGGAAAGAAAGGTACCGCGAAGCGTCTATAAATTGGCACAGTTTGTATGATCGTTTATCGCTTTCGGGCAACGTGCGAGGTGGTGTGGCAATATCCTGATCTCAGAATAAGAGGATTGGTATATGATACATTGAGCTTAATGTACGCCGAGTTTCAGCGAGCCAAAGTGCGTAGTTCTTCTCATCAATCCCTTTAAAGTCGATGGAATGAAAAAATGTGGACACGGCATAAATCCTCGGAGACCCAGGGGCAGTCAGTCGGGCCGGGAGAAAAGGCGCGACGAAAGTTTTCAAGCACAGGCGGAAGAGCCCCTGGGTACCGACTCTCACCGGACCATTTCCAAACGGTCAAGTGAATGCTGGCTCCTGATTGGGCACAAAAAATGCTTTGTATTATTGTGCCCAATCGGCGAACATGTTTCTCGTGAGTTCTTTTCGTGAGTTCGTACACGATGGGTATTATGTCGCCACAGTTGCCCGGTTTGTTCACCAAGCTTGTGCGTACAAGGGAAACTTCCATTTTCTACTTTCCTAACCAGAAACGAAGGACCTACCGATGAGTCGAAAAACGTTTCGGATGCTATCAGCAGGAACAATTCATTTTGCACTGAGAAAATTCTGTTTCTGACGGATCACAATGTATCGTAAATAATCAGATAATAGGAAGTTTAAGATGCGGCGGCGACGAGATAATAAAAAAGTAATAGCTTGACAAGGCAAAACAACAACTTTGCACGTGCATCACGCATTTTGCAGATTTCTTTGCCGTCACTGCACGACTACCACGTGAAGATGCCTAATTTCAGGTTTTGTGAAGGAGGTAAACAAACAATGACAAAATTTTCTTTCTCTTTATGAACTTGGATATGGTTGATAGAAAATCAGCTCCAGAAGAGTTCGCTTGCATTTGACAAAGTAAGCGAGTTGGGAGAATCACGATAGAGACTTGAAAAATGTGAATTCACTTTTCATGCGACGTTTTCGTGGCTGTCAGCTGTCGTGGAATCTTAAACTCCTTAAGATTTACGAAGGCATGATCGATGCAAGTATGAATACCTGTTGTAAGCTCAAGCTTGTATTTTTGGAAAAGCGTCTTTAGTTTTCGGGTAGACAGTGGTAGTCTTTACACTAGAGCCTAAATAAGCTAAGAAATATTTCAAGACAAGTAAGTTTTAATTACTTCAAGTAAAATAAAGCTTCACACACAACCGATTCTTTTTTACTTCAGGTTATTTTCCCACGCAACAAAATTAAGATTGATTGACATGTCTCGCCTTTCTCAAAGCTCAAGAAACCGCAAAACCGCAAGTCAGCTAAGTAGGTCATAAGGATGGTTTTCAAGTCGCTTGAAACTTTCTTGAACCGTTTCAACTTTCCGACTTTAATGAGATGCAAAGCAAAGTTACTTGAGATTTTACTTAGGCCTTCACACACGAATTTTTGGTTAAGTAAAACTTAGCGGCTCTTAAGTCTTACTTAACAGCCTAGTGTAAAGACAGCCAACCAGTATTTTGAAATAAAGTGTTTGTATCAAACTGAAAGTTTCCTGACTGCGTGCATTTGTTTGGTGCATGAGCCAGACAAGCCGTGATCGAGTCAATAGCTATCGCGTCGTGTACGAACTCACGAAAAGAACTCAGGAGATGCTGTTCCCCGATTGGGCACAATAATACAAAGCATTTTTTGTGCCCAATCAGGAGCCAGCATTCACTTGACCGTTTGGAAATGGTCCGGTGAGAGTCGGTACCCAGGGGCTCTTCCGCCTGTGCTTGAAAACTGACTGACTGCCCCTGGGTCTCCGAGGATGAAATGTAATCTGCTTACATCAAGTCACTACCTGTTGCAACAGGTTGGCACTAGAGATCATTGGTAAGTTTTGAAATTTCCTTGTTTACTTCTAACAACAGGAGGCTTATATGCATGTTTTGTGCATGAATCAACGACAGGAAAATGTAATTTTTTGAGTGGCAAATAGATAGCTCCTGAAATACATGCAGGTTATAAAATTAATGTTCAGGCTCTACAAACGGCTACAAACGGTTAGACTTCAACAGTCTCTCCATATATTAATGCTAGAGGGATAACACTGCTAGTCTAGAATCTATGTGCAATTGTATTGTACAATATTAACCGCAATATTCCATTAAATTATTTTTGACCAGGGATGCAAGGAATCTCTGTTGTCAAAGTACAAAATATTAAAATCAACAAATTAATACTAATTATTTTTAATTTAAGAACACTATAATGATAGTGTTCAAGTTTATGCATACAAACAGAAATAGATTTGATGCATCTTTTGTGAAGGAATTCACTTATTGAAACCAATCTGTGCAACAGTCAATCCCAATTGTTCAGGAAGTATTGTTTCCCCAAATTTTAAAGTAGAAAAATAAATTTCAAGCTTTTTGTAACAGCCATTAGGGGGCAGCCAGTGAGGAATAACACGACATGGTATGAATGGTATACCTTCCTGAATGGCCACGCAAAGACGATGGTTTCCTTCAGTGATATAGGCTTTTCCAGTTGTAAGATCACATGATATAATTATTGGTTCTTGAAAACCATTTTTCAAAATGAAACATCTTACTTGTTCAAGATGACTGTGATTATTGCCAGTTTTTGGCATGAGAGATCTGTCAAATTCCCTATATTCCGAAAGACCTTGTGTTTTGACCATTTGAAATTCATGCGAATAATCAAATGCATCAGAAATGTAAGATTTGGTCTGCATTGCATGTTTTTCACTTTCTGTGGGTTCATCAAGTGTCACAAAGAACATATTTGTATCAATTAATGGTTGAAATGCTTTTGCAAAATCATCGTCACTACTAGCTGTCACTGTCAATTTCTGTAGTCATGCTTTTAATCAACTCTTTAAAGGATTTACACTTTGACTCTTTTTTCCCACCTTTAATGTCTGAAGTTGTTTCAGTGTCAGCTGAAATTTGTAAAGAAGTTGGATTGCCGTTTTTTCATTTCATGCAGCTTTCTGATCGGGTCTGTAACCCATGTGGCCGGAAAATTCGTAACTTGGGCCAGTCTTACCAGTTCATTAAACCTGCAATTACATCCACGGCAAGTACCCCGGTTAAGACCAGCAAACATACTGTTGACACGTCGGACAAAGCCAGCCCAGCAGGGAGAAAATCAAAATCCGTCCGTGTCAATTCGCGAGCAGCAAAGTCACCCTCGATCGAAGGTTCCACATCTGCTACTGACTAAAGGCAAATCAAGGAAGTCTCTCTCCTTTTTTTCTTTTGGAGAAAATTAAAAACCTAAAAACTTTATTAAGCCTTATTTTGACCTCAAAAGAGGTCAGAGAAAATGACTTCGCAAACAAAACGAACGATCTGAGTCCAGCGTGATATAGCCTGCGTTGCAGGCGTTAAACGGGGAAGGGGGAATTTGGGCCGAGGCGAATAACACCCCCTGAGATCTCCATAATTCTTCATAAGATACTCAGCCTCATTCATTAATTGTAAAATATAAGACGCTCAAGTTTCGTCTTACGTTTTTAATATTGTTAACTATTAACTTTCCTCTAACGAGAAGAGAAAAGAGACTAAATGAGGGCACTTTTTTTTTGAGGCGTGATTACCTTGTTAATGAACACAATCGGCTAGTATCCGCCACCTAGATTGATTAAAGGTTCAATCAGACGGGGTTGTTGGTTTCGTTTGTTTTGACGCCCGTTCTTCTGCTCAGATAGAGGCTACTTTTCGTCCGATCTATGACTACACTTGACCTGACCGGAAGTAAGTTTGCCAGATCAGACCTAGACTTGCTACAAGTCGACCTCTTGGCCCGCGCCATATGAAATCCGACGAAGGACTTTTTTGAAAGTCTAAGATCAGACATGTGTATTGTCAAGATGGTTCTATTGTTCTCGCGACGGTTTTTGTTATTATTTGACTGCTTGATGTGTCGGAAAAAGAAAACAGATCATACCACGCTGAATCGCGCGAGTTAAATTTACCGCTCGTGTATGTTTGTCGTGTAGAAATATAGGGTATTTGCGAAAGGCAAGTAAGGAAAAAATATTTACTGATTTTATTTCCAATAATAGCGACAAGAATCGTAAACTGAGCAATCTCTTTGTAAAAATTTGCTTTGATTTTAATAATAACTTCTATTGTTTTGTATCTCGTAAGCAACTTAGGAAAAAACATAATTCGACTCACCAGAGTCATTCACGTCGCGTGTCGTAGAAATTGCAGACAAAGGCTGCCGGCCGTCGGATCGAGTTTCCTCGCGCATTTCCACGCGTGTTAAATTGAAACCCGAGATCATCTCCCAAGGAGATCGAGTTAATAGTTAACATGACAATATTAGAAACGTGAGACGAAACTTGAACGCCTTATTTACGACGCGCCAGACAAGCAAACGCATTTGATAACCAGCAATGTTATTTAATAACTGTCTCTGATCGGATTCAAATCCCTTCCAAAACGACTTATAAAGACGGTGACAGGAACAAAGGAAAATGCATCTTATTATTTTATTAGAAGTTTAGTTAAAACAAGAGAGGATAAAGTGGACAGAGAAGGCATCCCCCATACACACCCTATTCCATAGGTAATTCGTCTCGAGTTATTTTTAGAATCGGGATAAAGTTACCTCGCGCACTGCGTGGATGTTTCGTGGAGGTTTCGCATGACTAAACGCCGCGAAAAACATGTTGGGCGAAAGGCAATGAAAGCGTAAAGAGATCGAAAACGTTCCTGAATATTGACGCGAAACGAGTTGGCGCTCACCTGGGAAAGGGAATCGCTATACTCTTTGACAACCCGTGAAATCAGTTTAACTCGAAGTTGTCGTAACCTCAGTGCTTTAATAAAATGAGCAATTTCGCCGGTCTATTGAAACCGGTCGTTTGTACAAAGCAAGTAGGATGCCAAGGACGCCAAGGGTTATGTTTGTTGAATAATAAAAGACTAATAAAAGAATGAATATCAAACCAGAAATTGCTCTCTTCAAACTGTAAATTATAAATGATCCTGAGAGAATATTCAGTGTGTTAAGGATTCCCCTGCTGTACTGTTAGCTCTATACAAGAGGGGAAGGACGATTTTTTTTAATTCCGTTTTGCTGACACAGCTTTAGCAGAAATCCCTCTGTAGTCGTTTTCGTCGACAAAACGAAAAGCAATATCGCTCTCCGCGTCTTCCGCCATTTTGTTCTTTGTCAATTCGTGAAGGACGCGTGGCTCTGAGCGTGGGTCATCCACGCGGAACACATTCGCGCTATGTGATTGGCTGTTTTCTAATCCCCCTTGGGATCTGTGGTCTTAAAAATAACTCGAGACGAATTACCTTTGGAATAGGGTGTGTATGGGGGATGCCTTCTCTGTCCCCTTTATCCGCTCTTGGTTAACAATATTAGAAACGTGAGACAAAACTTGAGCGTCTTATTTTCGACGCGCCAGACAAGCAAACGCATTTGATAATCAGCAATGTTATTTAATAACCGTCTCCGATCGGATTCAAATCCCTTCCAAAACGACTTATAAAGACAGTGACAGGAACAAAGGAAAATTCATCTTATTATTTTATTAGAAGTTTAGTTAACAATATTAGAAAGGTGAGACGAAACTTGAGCGTCTTATTTACGACGTGCCAGACAAGCAAACACATTTGATAACCAGCAATGTTATTTAATAACCGTCTCCGATCAGATTCAAATCCCTTCCAAAACGACTTATAAAGACAGTGACAGGAACAAAGGAAAATTCATCTTATTATTTTATTAGCTAAAACAGCATTCGGGCTCCCTGTGGAAAAGGTAAGTTTTGATCCTTATAATTTTCGTATCACTACACTTTCAGCTAGGAAATCCGAACGGATGAAAAATTTTTAGGGGATAAAAATAAGCCAATATCTACCGTTTAAATACTAAAATACGTTTAACAATGCTACGTTTAAGTGATTTTAAACTATATTCTAGTTGGGTGCCCCTGCCTAGTGTTTCTGTTGCTTTAAAAATTGTACTTAGGAGTTTAGAACACCATGGCATTACAATGACACTCGCTTACTTGAGCTAAAGCAATTATCAGACATATTAACCCTTAACTTTCTTCTGTGCGCAAGTGATTTCATTTTCCAGCAATACATAGCTTTTTCTTGACTGGATAACGAGTTAAATAGCGCCAGCGACGAGATTTGGTAATTTTTGGCGGGCTTTGGACACGTTTTGGCGCGATGACGATTTCGCTGTTCGACCGAATCCATTTGATCGCTTGGTCTTTGTGTTTTCTGCCTCTACTATGACATCTTTAGGAATTTAGGCCGAGTTACTACTAATAATAGTATTTCCGCAAACCCGTCATTAAATAACGGAATTTTTTTTTATGTAGCCGTTTGCCCACGCTTTATATTATTGATCATGCATAATAGTCACCAAACAAATGCCTCGGATTAGAAGATCTAACGTTTTCTACATCAAAATGCCTACCACACTGCCGGTGAATATTACCACTTACACGTTTATCGTAACATCGTTAGCCTCAAAAACAGACGCACACACTGTCCTTTACGATCATCTCACGAATGCAATGCTGGCTTTATTCCATCAGAGTTCAAATCATAATGTCACACTTCTTCCATATAAAGAAAAAGTCAATTATTATTAACTATAGTGCGTTTAATGTACAAGATTCCATCAGAGAGGCCATAAAAGTACAAGCGCAACGCACCAGCGCGTGCGCGAAGCGATTCACTGCGGAAACTGCATTTTAGCAAGCTCAGGCAAAAAAATTGGTTCAAAACGACACCCACAAAGCCTCGGAGGTCAATGATTGCAATTTGCTTTGGCATCTATCTTCCCTTTACGATGAGTAAAATGCTGTGTGTTCACGGACTGCGGGTTATACATAATCAACATTTTGAACCAACGCTTTTATCTAGCAACATTCGTTCGATTCTATTTGAGTTCCGCCACCTTAAACAAATTCAATACAATATGGAAATACGCTACATTTTAATACTGGCAAAGATCAGAAAGACAACGCTTGATTCGTAGGCCACGCGCGATTATTCTGGATAACTCGTGAGCTGAAAACGCAAATCTCATAGACTACGAGTAGTCTCCCATTTTTCCTCTGGGATAGTAGAGTGAGCGAAACGCGAGCGCGCGTGAAAATCACCCCACCCGAGAAAAGGCGACACGCGGCGGGGAGAGAGAAAAATGAGGGACTACAGACAAAGCCCAGGTGGTGTGCGTCACGACCCACAAAGGTTCATGGGTATAACTGTTACTGTCCCTCATTTCAATCGTGACACGATCGAGTTCGCATCTCGTGGGAGAGATGAATCAAACCCAGGGATCAGAACACTGCTTCCTTTTCTGAAAAATATTACGGAAGAGAGCGATTTGGAAAATTTTCAAGATCTCATGGTGCCCTTAGATGCTTGCTATTGGCTTCATAAGGCAATTTCAATAAGATACGGAGACGATCGAAGGTGCGATCTAGCCAATTTTAACACTTGGTGCCCGATTTGGGGAGTGGGGGATTGGGCCTTGCAATTTGTGAGCATCACAACATCACAATTTGCGTAACTTAAAGACAAGAGAGATTGAGAAGGTGTGAGTGTACCATCATCAATCTTCCTAACCTTGGCAATTTCACAATGTCACAAAGGAACATACAAAGGATATCGCTCAACGAGTATAAAATAATGGTAAATAATCTCTTCGGCTCCGTAGCAGTCGGGGAGTTTTGGTAATCATTGATTCATTTTAATATTTGCTGTTCACCGATTTCAATAGTGGTAAGTTGTTGTCACGTTGCGAGGGTGATTTATTTGGAAAGCCGTGTTTTTTTGCTTTGATTTGCCTTTATCAGGTTTTAAAAATAAAAGGATTATTTAAGAGTCTGTTTTCATTGTTTATTTGATGATACATCACAGGATAGCCGATACCATAAAACACCGACGTATTTCCGGTCGTCGCTTCTTCGGCTAAATTTTTGCGTGGCTTAGTGTGATAGTTTGTTTAGTTTTCAGACAAAAGAGTTAGTTAAAACAGTTTGCTGTTTTATTGTTTATTTGGTGCTACAGATACAATCAAGAGCTCAGACCGTTTCCAAGCCAGTTCGTTCTCAGTCGATGACCTCAGACAAGTCAGGTACCGTACTTATTCGAATAAAGGCCCAACCTCGAATTAGCGCCCACTTCGAATAAGAAAAAACTCCAATAAGAGATAATAAGAGACCCTCCCGAAGACGC